GCAATGATTAATTACATTAAAATAATGTAAGCCACAAGTTTAATATTTTTTCAAAGAATAAATTATCTTTCTCATTCAATTAATATAATAAATAGCTTCTAAATAATTTTTAAGTGGCCTATTTACTTCCAAGATAACATCAACAGTAAAAGTAACATTCCCTTAGTGACCAATTACCTTATCTCATTCATTGAAAATTGCCCTTTTACGATAATTATTCCTCCAAAATGTCCAATTTTATATCACTTAATGAGACTTTTAATAAAAAAAAACCACGAAATAATTTCAACAATTATTTAAAAACCATGTTCTTCTTGAAGGGTTTAAATAATCGTAACTTAAAGTTACATGACTTAAGCCTCTTTTCTTGCTTGCTCTGGTTCTCTTGCATCAACAAAGGGTGACACACGCTTAAAGCGTCTGTCACGGAAACGAAAAAAATTGCGTAACGGTAGCGGTGGCTTTTGTTAGTCTCGCACGTAAAATGCAGTCGGGGAAAAGTTTAAAATGTTTAAGGAAGGGTGTGGTGTTCGCTTAGAACTAAGGAGAGTGGGGTGAAAGGGGAAATGAACGTGAAGGTAGAGAGTGAGGGTTGTACAAGAGGGTGTCCCAGCTACGAATTTTCCTACATATATATGAGCGTGTGCGCGGCACGAACCCCGCACGTACTCTTATTGTGCGCGTGCGTGTATGAAATTGTGATTGAATGTGTTAGTAATCATATACATACATACATATGTATTTAGTAGGAAGTTGAGAGTTAGGACAGACGCAGATGCTCGTTCAGAAACAGCCAAATGGATGAGTAAATGCCGATGACGTGTGTCTAGCTATTGTGATTTTAAAATTTTGAAACCCAAGCTTTACTTCTCCCCTTAATTTTACCCTTTTGCGATATACCCATTGGAGTATCTATATTTAACGTAAGCCAATACTACACATCCGCTTGTTCATAAAAATATTATTTTTCTTTATTATTTAATATATTATACAGGTAATCCTTATATCAGATTATGCATCTCTTAAGAAATTTTATGTTTACATTTTTTTTTCTTCTTTCCTCTGATGTGTAAAAAATATTCAAAGCTACTTTCGAGTTATCACATACCTGAACTAGGGTAGATAACCCATATCGATTATCAATGGAATATTTATTATCATAATAATAAAAGATTAATCAATTGATGATTTTTTATTTTTATTCGAATTCTTCATCGTATTAAATAAGAGCAATAATCATTTTTATCTTTCATTAAGAGTATCGAGAAATATAAGAATATAATAGAAACAAATTAATATGTTGAAAGAAAAATTTTTTTAGGAATTTAAATGAAGAAAAATGAATTATTTCTTTGAGTTATAAGGGGATTATTGGAGTGAACCATTTTTTAGGATATGTAAATTGAACCAATGGGGATGAAAGGGTTCTTAAACCAACCCCTTTCGTTTTAAAGTCTTCAAAATGGCGTCGACTCACATGCAGATTGGTTAGGTGTTCTGAAATGTATGAATATATAAGAGGGAAAAAAACTACCTTTTCATTGAAGGGCGGTTCGCGCTTGCGCTTGGATTCTTCAACTCTGCATTCTTGCGCATAAAAAAAATTTTTTTACTTCTATTATTTATAGTTCACTACCTTTTATTTACCAGATGAATTTTAAATAAAAAAAAAAACAAACAAACATTTACTGTTTATTTCAAAATTTTATTTATCATTTTTTCCTTGATTTGATTGGAAAGTTACAAGATTTTTATTGATATTAATTAAAATATGTAAATTTATGTAATATCTAAAAAAGATAAATTCGAGTGATAATATGGTAGAGATTAGGCCAGTCTGGCTATTTTTGATATCAATTTAAAAAAAAATACAAGATTAAAGGTCATTCACTTATGGAGAAATTAAATAAAATTTGTTACGTTAATTAATTTGTTATGACAATGAGTTTGGAGATTATGATAAAATTTTTATCAAAATCAAATAAGTTAAAATAATAATTATAAAAATATTATTTCATCAACATTAGTTTTTCTTTGAAAATAAAAATATTTTTTATTTAATTTTTATTATGTCTCATTGATTATCAATGACCAAAATATATCTCATCTATTCTAAAATATATAATTTTACATATTTAATTTAGCTTTTATGTACAGATATGTTAAAAATAGCCGACATCCGTTCGTATTCTTTATGTACTTTTCCTCATCATAATTTTGTCCCTTCTAAAATCTTGAATAAATAGCTATCAATCAAACGATCTGTATAGTCCCTCGTCATAAATTAATAGCGGCATGATTCAGATATCACAAAGGCCGGACGTGTTGACAATAAATTGATAGAATGCTAATAAATCCTTGAGATCATTAGAAATTAAAATGATAATAATTCTCCACCAAGAAATATATTCTGGAAAGTTAATTTTAAAAATAAATGCAAAAAGTCAGATGATAAAAAAACATAAGGTGTTGCAATGAAGTAGTATGAAAAGGACTTGAGAGGGTTTTCTTCGTCGACTTCTGTGTCCTAAACACGATTCAATTTAGCTACTACCCTTGGGTCCACCTTCAAAGAAGAATCACCATCGACAAGCACCCTCGTCTGTAGACCAGAGAAGTCCACGCTCTACTATTAATCTTATATCGAACGCCGTTTGTACCCACTCCATACATTTTCCCTTTAGTGGATGAGAAGAAAGAATTTTCAATTTTCCATCCTGGCTCTCTATCTAAAAATCATAGACCAGAAAAAAGAAATCATTTTGAGCAGCATTACCATGGCCAATTGTAGAAAGAGCTATTTTATTTTATTTGATTCTAAAATTGGCTCTACTGTAAAATAACAAACTAAAATAAGACAATGGAAAAGTGATTTGCAGATTTTCCTTTGCGGTTTATCCTAAATGAACATAAAACGAAGCTATCCATTGGCGCGAACAAGCACCAGCGAGGTCCATTATGCTGAACCAGTGAAGGGTCTTGGGTTGAGTTGGGTCAGCCAATTCTCTAGGGGGTCGTTAAAGAGAAATACACCCGAATGCAAGGTGGCCACCAACACTGTATGCTGCGTGGAAGTTGGCTTGTACGATGGACGCCAAGTCCTGGTTTCCAACCAACCCCTCCTTGCTCTTCATCAACCCCTTTTCCAAACTCCACCCCAGGAAACTTTCGTGTGTAGGTAAATCGTTGTTATCTGGACAGTGATAAACCCGTGAATGGACTTACGCCGAGTCTGACGAATGGTGGTTCCGAATGCAAGAAGAGGGAATCTAAGAGGGTGTATACTGGAGTCATTCGGATTGTACAATAGTATAAAATAAAAAAAAGCTTCGTGGATATAAATTGCCAAATGCTGTTTAAAATTAGTCTTTAAGATAGAAAAATTGTTTAAAAAAAAATTCAACAAAAACGTTTCTTTGATTTTATTAAAAGAAGTAATTAAATTTCATGAGGGTGAGTTTTAGATATATATAAGGGGTTGGAGTTGAGGCATGCAAACACCATACAAGATTAAAGGAGTCATTGGCTCGTGCAAGCTACTTTAAGAGTATCTTGAAAAAAAATTCAATGAAGATATACTGCCTGAGGCTCTTTTCATCCAACCCCTTAGAGCAAACACCAAGACGGTGTTCTCAATATTTCCAATAAAAATTGCTCAACTTGAGTAATCGAACTGCCATTACAATTGAATCAAAACTGTCTGCTTTATGACTTTACTTTCCAAATTTTCAAATATATATCACAGACGTAATTGACAAAAAATATATCACAGACAGGGGTTGAAAGAGAAAAGAAATGATATTAATGTTTTTCTGAACGACTAAAATTCTAATTTATTATTAAGAATTCAGGCAACATCGCAATCGAGGTTATTCCTTGGATATTGATTAGCCGACGCCCTTAGTTAGCGCCATTGCCACTACTTACATTCCACCCTCTCTTTTCTTTTCTTATCTCTTCTTTGTTTTATTTTACGTCTCATCAGCATTTTTATCCTTCTCGTTTTCTCATTCATACTCCTCCAAATGTTACTATCTTTATTCTCCTTTCTTTATTTCCGGATAAAACCACCCTTCTTACGCAGCTGCATCACTTATAAGTAAATCCTCAGCATAATAGAAGCATCATAGAAAATGAACATTAATCAAGGAAAAATATTTTCATTTATATTATGTGGTTTTATTTTTCATATCATGATTTCCATATTTAATATTAATTTATTCTTCAAGAAATGATGCATAAAAAAATAATACAACCTTCTTTTCTATTAATAATATTTAAAGATTAATGTTGATAAATAATTATAGAAGGTTTTTGAACATGACAAAAATAATTTTATCCCATTAATTATAAATTGCATATGAAGTAGAGCAGAAGAGAAGTAATTTTAATAATAAAGATAAATTTTATTTTTAATGCTAACGAATCATGATGAGGCAAATTGATCAGAAATCCAAATGGAATAATGTAGTTACTTACACATATTTATATATATCATCTAGATAATACAGAACCGATCGATTTTTCCTATGTAATTAGACACTGCAGCCTGAAACAACATCAAAAGGGGGTCATTGTTCCCTAGAAACTATAAGAAAAAAGGGAAAGCTGGGAAAATTAACGATTCTACACATACATAAAGTAAAATATTCTAGGGATGTATATGTACTTTTATCAAGGGGAGCGTTTGCTAATTACAAGAATACCAAGGGGGAGAAAAATCATTTCTGCAGTAAGATTCTTCATATGTATACAAAACTGTCTAGTAACATAAGGCTCTAAAGCATTTGTGTTATTACATTAAGCTTCTACGTTAAATATAACTTATTTAGATACCAAGCACTTTTCTCATTTACTTCATCTGTCAATATTTTATTTTTATTCTTTCCCATGTGAATTATAATACTCTATGGTTCCATTATTTTCTTTATTAATGATTATGTGATAGTATTGGATGTGAACTAGAATATTAAATAAATAAATAATATTTTTTGTTATAGGAAAAGTGTGGAGAGGTGACAGTGAAGTCACGTGGAGGACTGAACAGCAGCAACAGAATTTCAAAAGAACATCACCCTTGAGTGTTTGTGCAATGACAACGACAACGACTGTTGCTGCTACAACGACTACTAGTACTGGAGTCACATCACACCCACACCTGTCACCTTTAATTGCTGTTCCTGTTACTACTCCTGATCAGAGGACTACCATCACCTTGCAAGCCAAACAAGGTGTTTCTCCAGGTAAGAACACTTTGATAATAGCTATAAATATGCTATCATGAATTGAAGAAAAATCTTGAAATAGTTGGTATAAAACAGCAGTACATTAAAGGGTGAATATTTAAATGACTTAAGAGCATACATTCCTTGAGTTATGTCACCCTTAAAATCGTCTTGTAGTCTGTTCAGTTTTTCCTAAGGGTAGAAACCGCTACGTTGAGTGGCACTTTCGTGAGGGTGAATAAGACGATTTTCAAGCGAAGCTCTTTAAATAATGCAATAAACCTGATGTCATTTGCTGGACAATGTCGAGCTCCTCTTACTAAAATAGAGACGTAAAGTGGTCTTAAATCTCCAGATTTATTCTTCAAATATTTTCTCTTTAATTTTGTTTGATAAAAAAGAGAACTTTTATAAAAATTGCATAAATGATTTATCTTCAAATCAAATGTCTCGGGAGATTTTTATTTATTCTTGGAATTTATTCTAAAAATGTGGAAATCAATAGAGTATGCAAGGAAAATGCGACAATACAATATAACTATATATATTTGGCTATTTGTTTTGTGACAATGTACACTTGAACGTTATGTTGGGGATGTGGGAAAGGTATCGATCCGCGCCGGAAGCTCGGAGCAATCCGAAAAAGCGGAAGGGCAGAGAGCGAAGATATCGACGATGGCTCGTTTCGTTTGCTTAAATAAACATTGGTTGGACAATGGATCGGGAAAAGAGAGAGAGTGCCGCGGAACCCGCGGTCCTTAGGGGCTACTCTTTTTGAGAAAGAACCTTGTCGCCGACAAGAGACTCAATAAAGCTAAGGCGCGAGTGAGAGACAGAGATAGACTACTAAGACCGACTACTTCGCGGCATGTTTAATGCATCGTTCAACATTTCCATGTCAAACATTGCTTTGACTCGCGGAATTTAAAACCATCTGGAAACCCGTTGGATGCTATAAACTCGTCGCTTCGAAATTCATATGTATTCGTATATGGGCAAAGGAATATAACTTTGCTTTACTACATGAGAAAAACTAGCTATCTTTATTTATCATTTTTCAATATATTCGAGATAACATTTTAAATTTTTCCTTTTAAAATGGAAAATTTTTTACTATCAATATTTTAAACTTTAGTAGGAGTCATAATGGAACTTATTGCAATCTTTTATTATAAATATTAACAAGATTGGAACCTTTTTAAAAGTATTGTTGTAATAAGATCGTTATTTTATTCATCAAAAATATTCTATCAATAGGAAAAGGAGTAGAAAAGCTTTTAATAATAAATTAATTATTAAATTATTTAATATTGATGAATTTTTATACATTAATAAATAGAAAGTGTTATGAGCATTTTCAAGCTTGCTTTAATAAATTAATACACCTTTTTTAGCATTTTATCTTGCCCTTGCAGTCCACTTTACTCTTCCTTCCCTAAAAAGAAAGCATTAAAATTCGTTGCGAAATACCCAAGCAGGGCAGGATTGGGCCCATGACTGCAGTTGGGCCACAATTGGCTACAGTTGAGTCATGACTAAATAATAACTCCATTTAATGATCAATCGGGTAGTGATAATTAATACAACTATTTGGACCAGTAGTATTATTATAGCTGCAGAATCACTGAAAATATTTTATTTCAATACACTTGAAATTTTTTTTTAATTGACGTCACCCATTTAATTAACATTGTAGTCACTTTTTAAATATTCCCAAATGTATTAAAAGTGATTAAATTATTAATCAAATGGATGACGTTATCTTTAAAACACTTTAAGTGTATTAAAATAAAACACTACAATTTGCAATGCAATAGCTCAGATAAATTCAACTATTTTGGAAATAAAGTGGTAAAAAATTTTGAAATTTTGCACAAAGTGAATTCGAATTGTTAAATTTTATTTAACAATAATTGTTATCATTTATCTAAAAATTTTATTTCATCTTAGGTTTCCTCCATACTATACTATTATTAATTATAAAATATCTTTCAATGGGTTTTTCAAACAAACATATTGATGGATAAAATTAAAAAAAAATTTCGAAAGTATGGTACTTTTATAAATCTTAATATCATTAAATTTTAATGCAAAAAATGATTTAAAAATTTCATGATCAACTATTAGAGTTAGAGATGAATTATAATTTTCATTTAAATATTTTATCTGCAAAAATAAATATATGAAAGACGAATGATTTTCTTTCTAATAAAATTGAATTTTGATTGGTCATATATCTGTATATTAAACGACTGCTGGACGACCGATAACATGCGTGCTTCCCTTTTACACTCTGGACAGAAGAAGAACGATTTTCAAAGCATGCTGAGAGGGTCACTTGAAATATGAACACGCGAAGGACGTTCCTGTGGGGCCGCGCGTGCCACGTGTTGTATAAGATTGCCACTCTGTTTAAGGCTATACGCATGGTCACTTCATTGAATCCTTCCATAATCCTGCCCTATTCCATCAAATAAACAAAAAGAAAAAAAAACCAAGAATAATAGAAAATGCCACAAAAGCGTTTAATGAGAATCGCTCTGCACGAATGATATTTGTGAAAGAAAATCATACAAAATTTAACAGGAGGTACACAGTTAGGAATTGAAAAAGAAAAATTTTTTTTACACTGTATATAAAAAATTGACGACTCTAATACTATCAATACACACATGCTGTTGGTTTATACCATGCTCTTTTTTGTGATTTCATAAAATCAGTGTCCGAGTCGACACGCAAGGGATAAGATGCTCATACGCAGTAGAGAAGGGGTGACTTTGAAATATTGACTACATAGATTTCAACTATTATTGTCGAGTGTAAAACACGGCGACATTTGGCGCTAAATCGATCAGGGGCTTGTACGCCGGGTGGTGTGGAAAAATAAATATCTAGCTAAAGTGAACTCACTTTAATAACATAAGACGAATGTATGAGAATATAAATAGTTGTAGAAAAAGAACAATTAATTATTCTTAATCGAAAGCTAAATCTCCATTTCCATGGACCGAAATATTAATTTATAATAAATAATGAGAGAGTAAAAATGTTGAAGGGGATGAAGAAAGAAATTATATATTGAATGAAAAGTCTTTTGTTCTGGTATCAATAATCCTGATCTTGTGATCCAAATTGAATTCTGATTTACGTAGTGGGTTTTGATGCCAGAATATTCCATAAAGTTGAAAATAATTCAAAATAGTTTGGGAAAATTAAAATCACTGAAATATTTTATATCTCAGCGATAAAATATTAGAATTATCTCTGTAAAAGTTTTTCCAATATTGTGTCGGATAAATTCACAATAAGAATATAAATTTTAACGATTTATCGATTACTTGGTTGAGAATCGTTCTCGCGCAATAAGTTATTTTTGAGATCATAATTTTAGATAGGCCGATCTTCAGACTTTCGACGTTGGAAATGCTGGCGTGTAGGCAAATTGAGGTGAGATTGGAGGTCAGGATTCTGCCAACCGTTGAAGCATCGTCCGCCTCAGCTATTTATCGGGTGGCTTGAAAGTATTTTCAATCCTCTATTTAATTTACCAACTACCGATAGAGATCTAAAAATACTTGGGCTTAAATTTTTAACAATTAAATACTAAAGACATAAAGGATTTTAATGAAATGAAAAAATTTGTAATCAAGTCAATAAAATGGCCAAAGTAAATAGCACGAGATGAGTTCACCCGGTAGATAAATTTGCACTCACGCGTAATACCATGGATCTCAGTGTACAAGCTAACGTGATTATTATAAAGTCAATACGTTGCTAACTCATCAGCCGACTCCGCCCTCTAACAGCCCGGTAATATGCACCGGCCAAGAAGTCAGTAACGTTGTACAGTATTGGTACTTTCTTTTCCTCTTATATCTTCTCTTTTCCTCATTCTCTCCTGTAAAATACTTCACGTCTATATACTTTGTATTTTTATCAGTTAGAACCGTGTAAATTTGTTGCTTTTGACCAGTAACATATTTATTACTCTAAAACTACCAAACTCAACCAACTCCAGAAGAATTTAACATTTAATTCAAAAAGAAGCTAGAATAAATTCACTCTTAAACACCTGGATCAGTGGATCCTGCTAAAATATCACACTAGATATTCAATGGAAAATAAAAAGTCCTAAGAAGCATGACAGTTGATGCAGAAAAATAATCGATCAAGATCAAACAAAAAAAAACAAGAGTAGATTACTGTGTGATAATGTTGAAACAATATTTAGCGTGATACTATTTCCTTGATGGGCAGCTGATGAAGATGTTGGAGATAACAGTGAGGAGTCAGTTAAGTTTGGTAATTGAGACCAGTAAAAATTGCTTCCTTGGAAGGAGAATACGTTGAAAAGGGTATAAAAAATATATATATAGACGGTGTGCAAGCGGTTTTAGAGTCAGAGGTTAAACGGCGTGATTGAGTCTTGCTTACAAGGAGCCGCCCTCCGTTGCTTCTCTCGAGCCCTATACCACCTATATATACTTGATCAAAGGGAAAGAAAACCATAATGCAATTCGAGCTATAATACTTGACTTTAAATTGAAAAGATTGCCCGGGGGATGTGAGGGAGTATAAGAGTAAAAGACCGAGGGTGATATCTCAGTTCTTCCCTTGGGCCTTGTACACCAGGTTGCATATAGTTGACACTTTAAATCAACGTTTCACCTACCAGTTGTGTTGTTAAACCATATATTGTATTTCCATCAATTCACCCACCTATCGAAATGATCTAACGGAAACTTTTGAATTTTATTTGCCAGCTTGATGATTTATTTAATCTGATTAAAGTTTAGATCGTTCATTTTTGAAGGAGTTTTTCAATTTGTATTACAGTTGATGCGATGAGTTTACATGATAGTTGATCAGAGCATGCAATTAATACTCTGGCTTAATTATTTCTATTACAGTGATAAATTAATTTTCCATTTATAAATTATCACTTCTAGTTACAATAAATATTTATAGATTTAATTAAACATTATTTTTAATAATAAATATTCCATTAACAAAAATAGAAAAATTGTACTTTTAATTATACTTAGAATATCTTCACTGACTTAAAACTATAAACGTACTTACAGACTTAAGAATATTGATCCACAAACTCATCAATTCCATGATCAGTTTCTCTAAAATCTTTCACTGGAACAATCCTTTCTAGGATTAAGTTTTTATCTAATTTTAATAAATAATTTCTATCTGAAGTTACTGATGGCCATTCTACACCTTCAATACTATTATTTGCCATAGGATCTCTGAAGAAAATATCACCCTTTAACATCTTGAATCTTTAGTTAATTAAAATAAAAAAAAATTTTACTTACAAATATTTGGCAAAGTTTGTCCACATTGTTACAATTTTTTCCCTATACCTACCAATGTCACTGTTAAGATCAAGTGATTGATTTTTGTCTTTGACATAAAAAATATGAGCAATATCATCATCATGTCCACACCCATCTTCATCAATTCCTGCTATTCTATGCAATGATTTTGGATAATCAAAGGCATTACAATAATTATAAACAGTAGCATCAGTATATTGTCGTAGATAAAATATCATTTGATTGATGCCTTTGATAAAGAAATTGAAGTTTCTTTCTGTCTCCATAGGGTCATAGAAAAATGCGTATGCTCTTGTGTACATACTTTTTAACACTGTAAAGATATAAACACTTGCTCAAGATATCAAAATATTTATTTATAATTTACATACCTGAATAAAGACCAATAGACTCGTTATCAGTATAGCCTAGCATATGAGGTACATTGCTACCAAGTCTTGCTTTGTAAATTTTTGCAGGTGTATGACTTAAAAATGCATGATCTATTAAGGTAGACTCTTTAGTTGGTAAAAATGGAATAGTTCCCTGCAATTAAGAAAACAAATCATTAATAATAAATTATTTTATATTTCCAAAATAATTAATATTTACTTTTTTCATCATCTGTTGATGGGTAGTGTGAACAATCATGCTAAGACAATTTTTAAGTGGTCGACAAGTAGATTCTAATTTTGATCCAATTTTAAGTTCACTTTCAGATAAAATATCTCGAAATTCTCTACTCATATATTCTGCTTCGTATCTTTTTCTAAATGCCCAAGGATTAAAAGGTGATCCACTCATAGCAATTGATGCCCAAAATAATCCTAGATAGAAAAATAAAATTGATAAGTAAAGTGTTTTAAAGTATTTATTTATTATTTATTACCTCTCGATAATGGTGACAATCGATGTAATTCAACAGAAACTGCACCTGCATCTTTTCCAAAAATAGTTATCCTACTTGGATCACCACCAAATAATGCAATATGATTTTTAATCCATTCCAATGCTAGAAGTTGATCTTTCAAGCCCATGTTACCACTGATTTCATGATCATCTACTAGAAAACCAAATGCTCCTAGTCGATAGTTCATAGTTACAACCACTACATTTTTTTCAATTAAAAAATCTGGACCATATCTCGATTGATGATTGGAACCCCATAAGAATGCTCCATCATGAATCCATACCATCACTGCTCGCTGTTCAATATCCCTAGGAAAATCCACCTGCAAGACCATCATTGATTGATGTACTACTGTTTAAATTTTATTTGTTTATCACTTATCCTACCTCTGGTGTGTAAACGTTTAAATAGAGACAGTCTTCATCGCCTATCACTGATTTAGTATTTATGTCATATTGTAAGCACATGTGGCCATCTCGGTAAACAATATTTCTGACATCTTCAGCTTCATACTTAACTGGAGGCTACAAAAATTCCAATAAATAATTTCTTCTTTTTTCAACTTATTAATCCTTACCTTAAATCTTAGATCACCAACTGGTGGTTTAGCATAAGGTATCCCCTTGAAAGCAGAATACTCAACATTTCGCAAAGCTGTATGAAGTATCCTACCCTGTACAAGTTGATTCCGCACTAGAATAATTTTTGATTTTTTCTCTGCTTTATTGATGTTGATTAAACACACAAAAAACAAAAAACCAAAGAATAATTTGATCATCCAACAACGTAAGATCATTCTGAGATCGTAATAGGAACTTTAAAGAATGTGTTCACCGACAAAGTTCAATAGCAGTTGCCAAGAGTTTAATTTATAAGAAGAGAATTAATAGTGATGTTTAATGTTAGAAGTTGATCTATTATATACCAACCAACTGCGTGATCAGTTCATGTGGTAAACCCGATTACTAAACTAAAACTTTCAGTGGCCGTCAGTGTAAATATCAGTTTAAAAATGCGGAAGATTTCGTAAAATATACGATAAGAAATTATTACATTATTTACGCCTTGAAGAAAACCATAAATTATATCATCATTATTATTATTCAATATTATAGAATTCAATGTCGACTAATTTCGTTAAATTTAAAAATCCTATCCAAAATATCGCACAATTAATTTACTGTCACTCAATCAAGCATTTTATTGTATTTTTTAGTTCTGAATAATTTTGAAATTTTTCATGCTAAATAATATAATTCATCAACGTGTTTGAATTAACAGTAATTGAGAATGATTAATGAAAAAAGAAATTTTGATGGAAAAACATTTAGTAATGAGCTAGAAATAGATGATTCAACTAAGTCGAAATGGAAAATTAATCAAACATATCAATGACCGCTTTTGATAAATATTGACTTATAGATAAGTAGAAAAATAATTTTCTTTTATATCAACTATCGAAATAAACAAATATCTCTTCAACTGATCATTACACTTGTGAAAACATCATTAATGTCACTCAATGAATATTTTTTTTTCTTAATAATCTTTTGATTTCATGAATTTTTTATCAACTGAAAAAATAGCATCAACCTTCAAAAGGTATCTACATAACGAATCTGTTCAATGTGTTGATTATTAAGTAGTATCTCATTTTCTTATTCAAGCTGATGAGCTTACCATGATAGTCGAGACATGCAATTAATACTCGGTGTGAATCTTTTATTATGCCAGAAAGATCACAACATGCATCAATTGATACTTGACACGCAATAAGTAGTTACATGGGTATGCACTGCATTATCTTATAACTCATATCATTTGCATGTAATTAATTTTAATATTATATCTGCTTATTCCAAGGAATTCATTTTGGAAATAGTTCACTGAATAACATTTTTTGTTGAAGCAAGAAGCATGAAAGAACATTTTTCTATTTCTTTGGAGTAAAATTCTTTTTATTAATAGATTATTTTCAAGAATGGATTGCATAATTTATTGCAAATTTAACTAGAAGATTAGAAAATATACTCATGAATTGACTTCGTGATTTGTGGATTGTATTTAAGATAATGAAATTCTTAAAATTTTTATAATATCACGTTTTTGGATTCATTTTTATACTCTAAATATAACTGGATAATAAATAAATAATAATGACTACAATAACAATGGTCAAGATCTTTCAAATTAATATTGTAAAATATATGTGTGTCCATCTATAGATGGATTGACTAACAACAGTTTGTTAGTTAACGACGATTGCTTGACGATTAGATTGTTTATAGCAACGAGGGGAGAGTTTGTTTATCTCCAGTTTAAGACTGAGACTAGCTAACATTAGACGTCTTGTCTTTGTTTCTGTATTTGAATCTGTCATTTTTAATAAACTAACTTTTAATAATAGTTGTTCTCATTCTATTATTTTACAATATAATAAAGTAATATTAGATGCTATTTATTTACATCAGTGTACATAATATGGATGATATTTTTTAATGAAAGTCTATGTAATCTTTGAATGCTTGGCGAGCTTCACTCGAGTAAATCCAGTCATTTATTCTTTTTTTTTAATGTTGCTTTTTAATGTAAAATAATGTTTCAAATATTTTTTTACACTTTTGACGATGTCAATATGAATTTATTTTCATTAATATAATTAAATATTTTTTATTCCAAAGGATTATAACAAAATTTTCTGATCGAAATAAATAATTAACGTCTTTTAGATAATTTTTTACTTTATTTAATTATTTTATTATATTTTAAAAACTTTTGAACAAATAACTTTCCATAAATTTGTTTGACTAATTTATAGAATATTTTTTAACAGATTTAAAATTATAAACTCATATCATATTTAACAATTAATTATTGCATTATTTATAATTTAATTTAACGTTGTATCTTGATTAAATTTTATTCAAATTATTTAAAGATTTTAATGACTTGTCTCGTTTACAAGCTATCTTCTATAAACTCCTCCAAAGCAGTTCGACTAAGTTCTACAAGCCTTGGTGACTTATCAAATTCAAGATAATATCCATTTTTTTCCACTGGTGGCCATCTAAGATTTCCAATACTTGATGTGTCTGCCGTAACATTTCTAAACAATAAGATTCATTGTGTCAAATATTTATCACTCGATCGTTAAAATAAATAAACTACTTACAAGTACTTGGCAAAGTTGGTCCATAGTGTTACGATTCTCTCTCGGTGTTGAGCAAAGTCACTGTAGAGATCAAGTGGTTGATTTTTACCTTGCATATAAAAAATGTGAGCTACATCATCAGCATGTCCACAACCTTCTTTATTTATTCCTTCTAGTCTATGCAATGACTGGGGATAGTCAAATGAGTTTTCATATTTCCATACAGTAACACCTTCCTTCTTCTTGATGTATTTTAATGTTTGATCAATACCAGTGAAAAATTGCTGCTCAGATACAAGAGGCTCTGTAGCATCACTTATCGTTTTGCCAGTATATGCATAAACATAATAAAAAACTGGAGAAAAAATTTTCAATAAATAATCTAGCATTGAAAAGTATATGTTTGCTGCAATGATACATACTTTCTTTGATACCCATAAACTCATCAGAAGTGTATCCTATGATATGAGGTGCACTGCTAAACAATTTCCTCTTGTACAAAGTTCTTGGCATTTCAGTGAGAAAAGCTCCTGAAGATCCTGATTTTTCTACTGTTGGCATAAATGGTAGATGCATCTAGAAGCAACATAATAGATACTTTTATTTGTACCCCTAATGAGCTTTAAATTTTCTGATAACTTTTATTTTACAAACCATGACATTGAACTTGATTCAATACACTATAGTAGTTAATATTTAATACACAATTTAAGAATTAAATACCTGAGTTTTTATCATTTCATTAGCCAATCTCACAATATCATTAATAGGTGCTGCCTTTAATATTCTGACTTTTAATTCTGGTGTAAGACCCTCAATTGTTGCTTCACGAAGTAGCTGATAATAATTGTCGCCCATTACCTCCAAGAAAGATAAAGAACGATTTAGTCCAGGATAGCCTAGATCATCATCGAAAAGTTTTACTAATTCATCACTCATATCATCAGCAGTTTCTTTGTCAATGAAGGCCCATGGGTTGAGTGGTGATCCACTCATTGCTATTGATGCTCTGAATAATCCTAAGTAAATTCAATAAATTAATTTCTTTAAACAAAAAGCAATGATAAGCTTGGAAAAAGAAATAATTTATGCATTACCTTGCGATAATGGTGACAATCGATGCAACTCAACAGAAACAGCTCCAGCACTTTCTCCAAAAATGGTTACTTTATTTGGATCGCCACCAAAGTAAACAATATTATTTCGTACCCATTGCAGGGCCATTACTTGGTCTTTCAATCCCATATTACCTTTTATTAAATCATCAGAAGCTAAGAAACCAAGTGCTCCTAATCGGTAGTTCATAGCTACAACAACAACATTCTTTTCAATAAGATAATCTGGACCAAACTTGGTGCTGTTGATTGAATTCCACATAAAAGCTCCACCATGGATCCAAACCATGACAGCTCTTTTTTCAAATCCTCTTTTGAAGTTAACCTACTCATAATTACAATTAATGTTATTCTATTTGCTACATATTTAATTAATAAACTTTTTTACCTCTGGAGTGTAAACGTTCAAATAGAGACAATCTTCAGTGCCTAATACTTGATCGCTTCCTGCATTATATTGTACACACATATCTGGATCTTTTGTAGCTGAGAAAACTGATTGATAAAGAGGAGTACCTTTACCTTTTCGAGTGAATTTAACTGGTGGCTAATTATATAATAAATAACATGTAAATATTAAACGAACAACAATAGAAAGAATAAAATAATTGCCATTGTATTTACTTCAAATCGCAAATTCCCAACTGGTGGTTCTGCATAAGGAATTCCTTTAAATGATGAATATTCCATTTGTCTCAGCACCGTCTTTTCTACTACCCCCTTAAATAGACCGTCAAAACTTAGAATGGTTTTAGAAGGTCGAATCTTCGCTTCAACCAAGCACTGGATGCTGATAAATAAGAGAATAAGTTTAAATAATTTTGAATGATGTAAAATCATTTTGATAAAATTTAATTCTATTTCTAAAAGTTAAAAAGTTGATCCAGTTTTAAACTTCTATCAATCGATAATGAGTCTTATCAAAAAATGGATCTAATATATACTAACGATCTGATTATGAATGCATAATAAATTTGATCGATTGCTCAATGAAAACAATTTTTCAATGACTATTGATATTAAAATTATTACAAGAATGCGGAAAATATCATTAAGCTGATAAGCCATATTTATTTTTCAAGGGTGTATGAGTTTAAATGTGTTAAATCAAGTTTAGGTTCATGGAGGTTTATGTAGTTGCATGATAACAATTACACTCAACGTTTAACTCAATGTCAAGTCGTGCTAACGATAATTCAAATTGTTTTCATCATATCGGAAAATGCTTTCCACTTGAATGCATTTTTAAACATTACAGATACATTCGACATTCAGCCCAATGTCAAATTGTCTTATCAATAATTCGAGTATGTTTTATGATATCCGGTAATAATTTTTATTATTATACTTGTTTGAAGTTAGTGACCAATTTGTTTGATTTGACTGATGTCAAATATTTAAATAATATATTTTCTAAAAATCAAACAATGAAAATGATGAAGTACTCTACAAAATCAGTGAATATATTATAACTGATTCAATCAGTGGTTCAATTTACACTGAAAAATCAATGACTATTCACTGATTTTGCTGAGTATTTCATCATTTTCACTGTTTCCTTTTTAGAGAGTAGTAAATGAATTTAAAAAACACCCTTACAATTCTGAGGCAATTGGAAAGAAGAAGTGAATGGAATAAAATTTAACAAGACTACTCTTACAATGGATACAATATTGAAT